ACTGAGAAAATGTACAAAATAAAAATCTAACAAAGAAGCTCTGTTCTTAGAACAATGGACTGACCACCCCAGTGTCCAGACCTCGGCCGCGCTGAATGTGTGAATGGGACTACTTGAATTTTGAGAAGCAGAAAATGCAACCAAAAAGACTGAACTTTGGAGGTGTAGAAAAATATACCTGCAAATATATATTAGAAAAACTAAAAGCAGCTCTGCTGACATGAATGGAAGCTGTAGTATAGGCAAAGGGGCCAACACAAAATACTGAAAATTTTGATATATTGTTGAGTTGTTGAGACTTCTGTAAATGAGAGTAAGCTCTGGCCTTTGCACACTACTGTATAAGTGGACAACTATATGATGCCTTATGCCTGTATATGGTCCTTAGGCTGATGTCATTCAGTTGAATGTTATGAGCAGAGGCCTAAGACCACTACCAGAAATTGCCAGAACAGCAGTCACAGACTGGCACTGAGCTGACTAAGAGAGAACATTGCAGTTGTATCAGTGGGTCGTCTTCAAAGTGCTGCTGCTGTTTGATAGCCTTTGTTGTTGCTCAGGTTGCTGTTGTTGTATCCAGCCTGATGGTTGCTGGTTCCTGATTGGAACCTTAATGCTTGCTGGTATTTTGAGCTGATTCATTGAGTTTTCTATTTTCCTTGGAGCTTTATTGTGAATCTAGGCTTTCTTATATTGAATGCCTGTGAGATGAATTCCATTAAAGCAGCTTAACAACTGAATACGTTCCAGAAAAAAGGTCACATTACATCTCATTATCAGTCTTTGGTTTCACATACTGTTGAAGAGACAAAGAAGAAAACGATTTCTGCTTGATTTTTTAAAATGGCAGAATCTAAAGATCCTCATGCTCAGTAAAATTACAGCGATGATTAAACAGCGTTTTTATGAAGTTTGCTGTAGTTACTGTAAGCTCATGATGGGGCTTGTAAATCTTTCTGCCCTTCTGGTTTACTTCACAGCACAATAAGGACGTGATGTACTACTTATTATGAGATTTTAGGCTGTAATCGAATGACTGAATCACTCTAAACATAGATTTAATGTAATACATTTGAAACATTGCTTCCTTCTGAAACTTGTACCTGAACACAAAGACAGGCTAAATGGGTATCTTTAGTGGTTTGCACAGTTGTTGAGGACTTAAGGTTTAATAATGGTAACTTTGCAAGTAATCTAGTTCAGGATTGTCAAAAAGACCAGTGTTACAGTACAGTAAAAAAGTCAGAGACCACTGTTTTGTTTCTTAAAATTTAATTAAAAAACGGCCATTAAGTACAAGTTAATACTTTTAAAAGTGTCACAGAAAAGCAGGAAGCAAATAATTAACAGAAAATTACATAAAGGCCTCTATTTATCCATTTTACTTTTGTGCTCTGACACTTTAACTCCTCCATCCTCCCAACAAATGAGTCACTATGTTATCATTATGATCCCCTTTAAACAGACACAAACATTCATACAAGCAACTACCCAAACACATCTCAGCTTGTGTGTGTCTAAATGGCTCTTAAAGCACTGAGGAGATTAGATATAAAATAATCCACTTGCATAAGGAAGGAGAAAGTCACAGGAAAAGGAATGAAAAAAAAACAGTTTTTAAAACTGGACAAAATGATTAAAAGATACAAAGAAAGTGGGGCTCCTAACATCTGTGCATCACCTGGTAGACCACCAGAACTATCACCATCTGATAAACAGTACTTAAAGCTTTCATCTTTGAGAGAGAGGAGAAAATCAAGCCCCATTCTTGCTTCAGATCTGAAAAACTCCACAGGTGTTTCTGTCCATCCTTCCACTATGAGAAGACAACTCAACACTATGAGTCTGAAAGGAAGTAACTTAATTAACTGGACATCTGAAATGTGGAGTACATTTTTGTGGACTGATAAGTCTAAATTTATAACTGGGATGGTTTGGATCTTGAGAAGCAGAAATGGCAAATATCCCTGCAGATTTCTTTGAAAAACTGAAAGCAAGTATCATGACAAAAATGGAAACTGTAATAAAGGTAAAGGATGGACACTAAATATTGAAAATTTCGATTTTAATTGTAGAGGCGTCTGTGTAATATGCTGTCAAATATTTATTTTCTGCTTTCGTCCTGGTACTGAAAAATAAATATCTTATACTTTTTAAACTGGAAATTAAATAAATGACTTCTGACTTATATATATATATATATATTATATATTTTAGTACTTTATATGATCAGGAACAGTATGGTCCTGATTTTTATTTCTATAAACATTTAACAGCACAACTGTGCCCCTGACATACTATTAACACAGACCTTCAAAAAGCAATATTTTGTTGAAGACAGCCACTAGGCACTAGGCTCCACTAGTCTAATGCATTAAACTGAAACTAATGTCTATCTAGAGTTCTATATTATACGTAAATTCTGTGCTATATATATTATTCTATCTGGAGTTCTGTTTTACACAAAATGAGCATTTACTCTTAACACATCACTGCACACAGATGCCTGAGTTATGGATGCTCTTTTCAAGGTTGTAATGATTTATGTCCCCACTGTTGCTTTGGGTTCCAGTGGTTTTGCTTCACGATTATGTTTTATTTTTAATTGATCCTGAAAATGAGGTGATGACAGAAGAAACTGTAATAACTCTCTGAATAAATCACAGCAGAGAAATATGACTGCAGACCTTGCCATGGCTAAAACAAAGTAATTCTTTTTCTTTTCGGTCTAGTTTCTCTGTTGGTAAACAGCTGAAGTTAACTGTTTACTAAAAAAAACAGGTGGCTGATGAATCCTGTTTCTGACGAAATTCAATCATGCAGTTCGGAAAATGCAGAGTCATAGTTGTTTACACTCAAGTCCTCAGCAGCAGCAGGGCTTAGGGGAGAACAGCGCAGGCCATTTTTTTATGTTTGGCTTACATCAGTCCTTATTTTGCAATGTTATCTGTTACGTTTCAAAACACTTGAACATCTGCTGTTCCTCTGTCTTTCTACTCTTCACCTTATTGTAATTAAGTACTGAAAACAACAGCGTTACATGCTTATGTACCTCACTGATATAAACAAAGCACTTGTCAACTCGTCTGCGGGCACTGCCTCCCTCTCTGTTGCATATTGGAGTGTCTGAAATAAATACTGAGAATGTATTATGCAAAACTGTAATTTTGTATAATAATGATTGTAATTGAAGTGGGAAACAAAAAAGAATTACCCAGCCTTGTGATAAAAACAAAGTTTGAAGCACCTGATTATACAGTGCGGAATATGGCTATTTTAGAGAATGGATTAGGCTCTGGGCTCAATTTCAGTTCTCATTATGCACTGCATTATTCCAGACTTGAGGTAGTGAGGTTGGCCTTTACTAAGACAGATTCAGAGTGAAACTGCAGTTTTACAGATTGCTGAATTACATTAGGGGTGCACTGATTTCTTTGCAGCCACATTGGTCGATGATCTTTTTTTTTAAAAAAAGAAAAGAAAAATTTTATTTGCTCTTTACTTAAAGCTCATACTTGGGCAACTTTATCATTGCAGTCATTACAGTATGTAGTCTTAACATCCTCTTTAGCACGCTTTGAAATATTTTCTATAAACTGACATTTCTGGCAACGTGTAGCAACAGCATTAGAAAACAGAATATGTGCATTTATCTGGCGCATGTTATTTACTCAATATAAAATCACAACAAGATCTGCCAAAATAAAAATAAATTGTATTTTTTTGTTTATTTTTTCTTTTTATTTTAGGAAAGAACATTGGCTGAATATTCCAGCCGTCCTCCAGTAGTTTGTAAGGTGTTTTTGGCCAAAATACATGAAGCAATCTTGCTTTCTTAAAGATGATGTTACGTAAATAAATAATGGGGAATGTTGACGATGTAGACACTAAGCTTGGGTGATAATCTAAATTTGAACTGTTATGGTCTGCAGAATCATTGCAATAAACAATATTATTGTGATTCAAATTCAGTCATGCTTACATGGGAACATTACAGAGCCTGATTCTACAGCTTGCATTTTCCCTGATGGTGATATAATTACCATACAGCCACTAACAAGACTACCTTGTAATATTACTTACTCATTTATAATGATAGCTATATTCTGCACAGACTACATGTACCAATATATGAAACATCCAGTGGTTCTGGATTTATTTGTTTGGAATTTGGAAAACAAAGTATTGCCAAACCTCTGCATTGGTACCCTTCTTCTAGACAAGCTTGCACATTTTACTCTCCACCAGGGAGTACTTCTCATGTACTGGAGTATCTTTAATTTGCAAATTCTCCAGCTGAAAATCTACATTATAATCTTTCAAAGTGGCATTCAAAGTATGTCTGTGTAGTTAATTAGTTAATGAACACATTTTGAACAAATCATAGATTAGAATGATTGTAGAAAGGGAATGATTATATATAGATAAAGCAATAAAGTGATGGCATGTGAAATAAGACAATAATTTTCTCAGCCCTTATTTAAATTACCATGATATTTGATAAAATCAATTATTGACCCAAGGCTCCCTTTCTGTATTTCGTATCATTTTAACTACTGCAATTTTTTTTGAGGAACTTTGACTATTGTTGTGTACAGGTCTAGCTTTGGACTAGTCTAATTCAGAGACATTTCTGGAAGTAAGAGTCGGTGTGGCTGTTTGTTACCTTGCTTATGAGATTGTGAGCTGGTCTGCAGGTCAGCAGGTTGTGCTTTTGTGTAAGTGTTGTCCTCAGAAAGGAACACACACACTCTTCTTGACATGTTAGATGTATAGTGATAATTGGTGTAAAATTGTTTTGTAGTATGTTCCTTTAGGGAAAATATTTACTTGTTAATGTAGTTAATAGATGATTTATACCTATATACGTTTATTACCCCCGTTTAAAAGTAAGAAATAAGCATTGGAGACCAGCTATGTTTGTTGTTTATGATGCGTCGACTCTAATATAACTTTGAAAAAGTTCTTATTAATTAGTTTCACTTCTCTCTTTTAAACAGTCAAAACAGAGAAGACTAAGCCAGAGGTGGAAAAAATAGAGAGCCTCCAGAAGTCGGATGTGCTTGACAAGCAAGACAAAGTGGAGAAGATGGACAAGGTTGAGAAGACTGACAAGGTTGACATAGTTGACAAGAAAGAAAACATGGACATTGGTGACAAGCTTGATACATTTGACAAGGTGGATAAAGCTGATAAGACAAGTGTAGTTGAAAAGTCAGATAAGCCAGAAAAAGCTGAGCAGCTTGACAAAACTGAAAAGACAGATAAACCTGAAAAAACAGACAAGATTGAAAAAGCGGAAACGTCTGAAAAAGTTGAGAAGATTCCTGAAGTAAAGGCTTCTGGAGATAAAACTGATCTGTTTCCAAACGTGGACAAGGAGGAGAAGATGGACACAGTGGAAAAGGTAGAGCTGAAGACAGAAAAAGAGAAAGTTGACAAGGACAAGTTAGAACACAAAACAGAAAAGGACAGAGGTGAAAAAGAAAAGCTTGATGAGAAGTCAGAGAAGGACAAAGCTGAGTTTGATCAGAAGCTAGATGCAAAACCAGAAAAGGACAAAGCTGAGAAAGACAAACTGGATCAGAAGCTTGATGAAAAAACGGAAAAGGACAAAGCTGAGAAAGACAAACTGGATCAGAAGCTTGATGAAAAAACGGAAAAGGACAAAGCTGAAAAAGACAAGCTCGATCAGAAGCTGGATGTGAAAACGGAAAAGGACAAAGCTGAAAAAGACAAGCTCGATCAGAAGCTAGATGAGAAAACGGAAAAAGACCAAGCTGAAAAAGACAAGCTCGATCAGAAACAAGAAAAAGACAAAGATGAAAAGGAGAAAGTTGAACAGAAGACAGAAAAGGAGAAAGCTGAGTTGGGCAAAGATGAAGCACAAAAAACGGATGTTAAGGAAAAGACCAACCAGTCTGAGAAACTGGAGAAGCAGGAGAAAACTGAGAAAGCTGGAAAACAGGAGAAGACAACTGCCAAAGTGGAGAAGGAGGACAAAACCGAGAAGGCCAAAAAAACAGCGTCTAAGCTCGGGGCAAACAATGGCGCCAGCGCTGCCCCTGGAAAAGACTTGCCCAGTCCAGACAAGAAAACCAAGGTGAGCTAGGCTCTTTTCCCATCATGCCATTCTCCATTGGTCATGCTGCTATTGTTGTCGCTAATGCTAATGCGTTTTACTTTGAGGTATTTAAACTATAAATTTTATACACAACAAAAACCCAACACATGAAATTAATTTTCAGTGTTCAAGCCAACCAAAACAGTATTATTAAGCATACACTGATATGTTTCCCTTTACATATCAGTGAATACACATTAGTCATTCTTAATAGTGCTTTATTGCTTTAATATCTGGATTTGACATCATACCACACAGTAAATCAGCCAGTCAGTCTGGACTTCTTCGCATGTAACACTGCTTCCGCTGCTTGTATCCTGTTGCTGTTATCATTTGTCCTTTTATTCTTTTGTTACTCGTTTGCTCTCCATTTGTTGGGTTTGGTGTCCATCCACGCAGCCTGTTGCTGGGGCAGCCAAACCGAGCTCGGCCAAACCCCGGCCAAGCCCGGTATCCAATGCTGTGGCTGCTCCTAAGCGTTCGACCCTGACCCCAACCCCTACCTCCACAACTGCAACCTCTGCCACCCTCAGCAAAAAAGCACCCGTGCCCAAGGCACCCACACCCACGGCTGGCACCAAGCGGCCTGCTTCGGCTGCCAGCCGTCCATCCACCACCACCACAGCATCCAACGAGGTCAAGGCTAAGGTGAGTTCCTCTGCCATCCCTGCAAGATAAAAAAGTACCACGAAACCCCAAGTCCCCTTATAGTCCAGCACCCCTGCCACTCCTGCTTGCAAAGATGCCCTGTTTGTGGTCCATTTGCAACAGTGTTGTCAATGGCTTGACCATACCACATTTGCTGAAGCTGCTAATTTATATCATGTTTGTACTTTTTCAGTACTTGCAGCTAACATGCCGTACATACAAAGTAGAACATGTTAAAATGTATCAAGCAGGGCAGTCATGTATTTAACATTACATGCATTTCGTTTCTGCTTAGAACACTCAGCAAAGAACTTCTTTTCTGTTTCACATTGAGAAAAATCAACGACAGACTGTTGAGTTTAACAGATGGTTGTCAGTAAACTATACATAGCTGTCATCTATGTGCTTTCTGAGTAGTTGCTTGGAATATTAACCTTTCAAGCTCTCATAAAGGCAAGACTAGTAAGGCAGTAGATGTCAGTACTGGGACCTCAGGCAGTCTTTATTCATTATTTGCAACGAGAACTAATTGGAGGTTCAGGGAGATGTCATTGTCTCTGGATGACCTCACTCATAAAGTCTGGTAGGTATCTGGCTGTCCTATTGTCCCTAACTGGCTATCCTACTGACTCCTCTGGGCAATTTTGTTAGTTAGGTGTATCTAGGCCTTAGGGCAGGGCCAGAGAAGATCTGGTTTGGATGGAATATTTCTCAAGATAAACAAGCAATGTTGGACAGTAAGATAACTGTTCTTGCTCGAACCAGGATCCTTTGTGTAATATGCCTATTCTCCTGGCATGAGAACTCTCCAGGTAGGGTTGAGCAAGTTGATTTAATGGAAATAGTAGGAAAACAAATCAGAAGTTGGTTGACCGAAGTGTACATAATTTCACTCACTCCTAAAACAGAGCAACTGCTAAATAATGACAACCTAAAGCTTTTTCCTCAGCTTGCTGCAGATATTCATTGTCATGTGTGTTCCAACCAATGAAGAAAAAATGACAAAAAAATCGTATATACAGACACAACAGTGTTACACAATTTTGCTATCGAAAGTAATGTGGCATACATTGAGAGAAGAGTGGTAATATAAAGCATAGTCTGTAAAGTTTGTGACTAGCTAGGTTAGCTGCGTAACTCAGTTGACAGGCCAATTACAATACAATTCTTACACACATAACAATGTCAACTCAAAAATGAGCTAATATGCAGCTATACGTGTTGACAAATATCCTGTAATGTGTTACAACTACCAGTGACCCTCCAGCAAGTAGAAGCAAACTTTATAAGTTTATAAGTTATAGCGTGCTAACATTAGCTAATCCTATCAATCTCTCTTCACAATCACAAAAAAATGTGTAAAATATTTGTTGACTTAAAATTCTTTATGTAAAATAATCCAGCATTTAATTAGGACGTAGTAACTCATAAATGCAGAATATTTAATAATCTTCCAATAGCAGTGCCTTTCACATTAAAGAAATGCCACACTTTGTTTTAAGAGAAGTGTTATGGAAAATGCCACCTTAAGTTAAAGGATAAGTAAAATCACACATGCTGTGTTGTGTAAAGACTTTTATAAAGGGCAGAAACTCATTGGTAACCTTTGAAAACTGTTCTCATGGTCATTGGAATAAGACAGAATAAATGCTTATAAACAACTGAGCAGTGAAAGGGTGTGTGTTCATATTACCTCCTTACCATTTGTGAAATGGCTAACTAATCTTTTATACGGGTTCCCTTATCTTTCTTGATCCAGTTCATACTCTGGCTTAGCTGCAGTGTTTTTTTCTACTTGTTCAGACAACCACGGAGAAACGCCCCAGTGCCAAAGGCTACCGCTGCCCCTGCCCGAACTTCTGCCCCCAAAAACGGTACATCTACCACGGCAGCAAGCAAACCCACCACATCACTTACCTCCCGCACCACTGCAAGTGCCAGCACAGCACGACGCTCTCTGGGTAAGACCACACATACACTTCCTTTCATTCCTAAAGCTGTCAACAAGGGTTCTTTGGAGCCATGCCATAAAAAACTGCCCTAAAGAGCCTTTCAGCTGAGTGATTTAGACTGAGCTATTTAAAGAACCATCCATTAAGACATTCTTTAGGGAACCACAAGTGGGTCCTCCATGGCATCAGTCCAAAGAACTCCTTTTGGCACCTGTATTTTTCAGTGTACTTGTCTGTAAGTAATTGGGCAGTGACCTCTGTAAATATTGGGTTGTGCAAGCTGATTAATTTTTTAAAAACCGACCATAAATGTGTTGACCTTGTGAGCTCTTTAAGGGATTTATAACTCAGGTTTCGGTTTCAATGTATTCAGCTGCAAAGACTGAGAGCAAACCAGGGGAGGAGAAGAAACCAAGCACCCTGAAGACTACAGGTACAGCATTTATGTTTCATATATTCTCATTATTAAACAACTAAACAAGTCTCCACCATTCATGCAAGACTGACCCTAAATAGTGTATACTGCAACAGTGTGGAAGCAGACATGAAAGTAAAAGTATGCCTGGAAAATCAGTAAGCTCACAGCAGCTCAAGCTGTGGGTAATCCCTAACCCTATACAGCTGCTTGTCATCACGTCTTGCTGTGTTCATTTGTGGTCTGTGCTTGGATTTTTAGACGAAAAATTAACCTCCAGTGTTTTTTGAGAGTTTCATTGACATTTTAGATGCTGTAAAAGATTCCATAAGTTCTCTCTTAGAATGTGGTAAAATAAGTGGTTTTCGTGTGATTTCAAGTTATTTCCTCGCTACCCCTTCACTGCAGATTCCACCAGGCCCAAAACTACTCCCAGACCATCCACGACTACTACTAGCAGCACCACCACACGCACCCGTACCACTAAGCCTGCCACTTCCACTAGCACCACGAGCACCACGGTGCCAGAGCGGAAGCCCCCTGTGCCCCGTGCCCCTCGAGCTAGCTCTAGTACCACTGCGACCAGTACCACCACCCGGACAACCACCCGGCCTGGAACAGCCCCGGCACCCGATATTAAAAATATACGCTCCAAGGTTGGCTCTACAGACAACATCAAACACCAGCCTGGAGGGGGCAAGGTAGGGCAATACAAGTAAAGTCTGTAGCTGTATTTTAAGATTGTGTCATACAGGAGTTAGCATTTAGCGTCTGGCATGGTTCTTATGCTGTTAAGTTGTAGCCCTTTAATCAGAAAAGACACGTTGTTCAGTCCATCTGGTCATGATATCATTAATGAAGAGATACTAAGTAAGACCATGAGTGATAGACAGTTACTGCTTTCAACCAATTAGAAAGCCAAATGAGCCACACAGATCCAGATAATCAGAAATTCTGCCCAGAATCTCTGAATTTGCAAATGTCCAGTGGTTTGTGTGCATTTGCCAGGCTGATTAGTAAGAGCATAGCCTACTACAACTAAACAGCACCCAGTTTCCTAAAGTTTGCAAAGTTACGACCATCTTCATTTAAAGACGAGCATTCAAAGAAATTCTTGTGCTACCATTTTAGTATGACATTTTTAATGGTGCCTTTGCAGGACTGTGACTCTCTAGCTTGTTAGCACATTTACTCTCAACTCTTGAAACACCTGCATGTGACTGAACACTTTTACACTGAAACATATTCTCAAGCACTGTTTGTTTTTTCAGTCAAGTTTCAGGAACACTTTGCTTGTAGGGTGTTCAAAAGGCGACAAGACATCTACATACTTACACATTTATTAAGGCTTATTCCAGTAGACGTCGTCTGTAATGAAGTTTCGTTCTGTCAACTTTGATGTCAAGATTGCACAACACCTAAGTCAGGTGACTTTTTTTTCTGACATTGGGTCATGTCTTGACACTTCTTTGGTAAAATGATATAGCATGTCATAACCAGAAGTTCTAAAAACTGACTGTTTTGTACATACTGTAAACTTTACTTTTTAATATTACAAACCGCAGGAAGTGTTATGGCACAAACCAATCTCGGAAAAAACAATACCACCTGACATAAATGTGTCAGCTTGTCATCAAAGTTGACAACTGTGACCTTCATGAAAAATGACACCCACTGGAAGAAGAGTAAACGTTTATGTAGGTCTATTTCAGTTGTCGTGAAGGTCTTTTTAAGGGATCATATAGCGTTATGAACACTGTGCTACAGTAAGATGTTACTTAACTTTCTTTCAAGGATTTTGTATTTTTTTAAGTATGGAACAGTATTAGGCAATGTTACAGTTGTATGCAAAAGTTTGAATACCCCCAGTCAGTTTACATGTAACTTACATTCTAAGTGAAAATAAGTTAACGCGTCCTCTGCAGGGAACAAACTTAAATTTGACATTTTTCTGTAATTGTTGTGCACAATTTCTGTTTATTCACCTTTTATTTTTTTCCAGAATATGTTAAATTCACTGAATAAATAGTAATTGTTCACTAAAATGTGCAGTAGTGTGTTCTCTGTAGTGGATGTGTTAACTTATTTTCACTTAGAAAATCAACAAGGTATGTCATTTGACCAGGGTACCTAAACTTTTGCAAATGACTGAATATACCAATTTTATATCTTTCATCATCTAATAACTGGTTTTGTTTGTGCAAAAAGGAAGTCACTGTCTTCATGTGATGCATGGCCCGAAAGTTATTTGCCCTAAAACTGTCCTTTCGTACTCTGCCTTGAAGACACTGAGCTGTATCATGCCCCTTCTTTCTAATGCTATTGCTAATTATGACAGATTCTTCTTCTTGTTCTACCTCAGTCACTGCAGTCATACCTATGACCCAACAGTAATCACCTTTTTGTTTGTTTATTTGCTCATGATTGTCCCCTAATACCACCTTTTGTCCACCTGGCATGCCATTCTCTCATTTTCTCTTTCACCCATCAGTCTTTTTCCTGGCTGATCTCTCTCTTCAGACTTAACTGCACAGCACTAGTCACTGTTACCTTTTATACTTACCAAAGAAACTTCTTCTGTCACCGGTAATCAGGGCATGGTTAGAGACAGTCAGCACAGCTGTGGAATCAACTTGACCTGCTATTGTGCACCTGAAGCATGATGTCTTCCTTCACAGCATGTTGAATAAAGAAGAAAGGTGCATGGATCAAAACTGAGTTTGAAAGCTGATTAGAGTGATTAGAGGAGGAACATGAACATGCAAGCTAGATGCCTGTCAAGTTTTTCCTCTCATATGTAGGTTGAGGTTGTTCTTTTGCTCTGATCAGAGACCAGGGCCCAGTGTTTTGGTGTGAGTGACTGAGGGGATTTGGGGTTGTCTCCCCAGGTCACAGTTTCTCAAAGCAGGACGGATGCTCTGGCTCAGGGCTCCACCTCCAAAGAGACCAGCCAGGGCAAAGTGAGTTTTCTCCATATTCCACACTCCACACTTTTATCTCCTTCAAGTCTCTCAGTCTGTTCTTGCCTATGCCTTCTCAGTTTCCTTCTCAGTTTTTGGCCCCCCCCTCATTTTCTCTCTCCCCCTCACATGCTGTAATTCTCCTTCTCTCTCTCCTTCTCTCTCTCTCTCTCTCTCTCCTCTCGCTCTCTCTGTCTCTCCCTTCCATGAACACCATTTTGTCTTTTTTTTTCGGTTTCTTTTTCCGTAGCGCCCTTTTTTTCACACATTATCTCTCCTCCACAGGAGTGAGAGTCTTTAGACTGTTTCCATGACTTTTATTCTGCATTCTCTGCATTCATTTTTAAAAAATTGCTGTCTTAACAGAGCATCTGATTGGCTACAGCTATGTATGATAGATGTTTGGCATGCAAGCCTTTCTGAAAACTGTATTTGCCTCTGCTAAAGACAAATATCTACGAAATCCTGCTGTGAAGGTGTGCTATATATAGATTAGGAGCTGACCTAGAATTCGTGTCATTTTTAAATAGAGTGGCCAGTGGAAAGCACAATGTAAGAGTGCTTTGGCTTATGTCTGGAAGGAAGCTGCTGAGCTTTGTCCTTGAGCTAATACTCACTGCAGCTCTGTCTCACTGTCAGTTTTCGCTGTAAAATTTGTTATAGAGCTACCAAAGGCTGAGGGGTCAGACAAGGTCTTTTAGATCTCATTTAAGCCTTATCACAGCATTGAAATTGCCCTGGGTAACCATTACATAATCTGAAATAATTCTGAAAGAAAGTGCACACACACAGCTGTTTGGAAATTCGGTCATCTATAAGGCCTCACAGTGGCTACTTTCTCATTAAGTTTATAAATGGATTAATGTATACGCTTTCAGTAATCAAATGTGTTGTTGGAGGACTTATAGCAGCTAGACAAAGATATAGGCCTCAAACATGTTCTGAAACAATATTTACCAAACGAAATAACACAGCACCAAATGTGATATGGCCATTGTGTGTGCTCACATTCTTTGTTGTTTCCCGAATTCTATATATATGTTTTATTTTTCTTCTTTATAGTACAGTTCTGCCCCTGTTGAATGTTTTGGTGAAAAATAAGTTAATTTATTAGCACCGGTATTTCTTTGTCACTACACCTTTTAAACCTTGAACCATGTGAGCGTGCAGCTAGAAGGCAGTCCTTTGTGCAGCTGTTGGTGCATAAGAATCAACTTAAATCTCCTTATAGGCAGGATGGTACAGAATCTTATTCATTTCTGTTGTACTGTACCCAGATCCAGCACTATTTCTCCCTCTTTAACAATCAAAAATATTAAATCCGTCCGACACAACCTATCAACTTCCAGTTGTTGATAGATCTGTTATGAAATGTTTTGAGGTATCATTTTTTAACTATGTGTATTGGAGTGCACCCAGTGTTATCCAGTTCAGTAGTGACAAGATGTTTTATCAGTACATGTGAGATGCTGTGAGGCAGAATGCATGTGGCAAGACAAAGTCGTCTTATAATTCAAAAGCTAGGGTCAGCTAGCCAACCAGTCAGCACTCCGTAGCTGCAGTGCTGACATCTTACTTTCATACCTCTAAAAAACCCATTGCTGTAGACAAGCAAACACATAACTGTTTTACTCGGTGTCTTGATAGCACATTGTTCTGTTTTCTAGGAAAAAATAAGTTACCGTGTCCCTGGTTCCTCTATAGTCTTTTCACATTCCCACAACATTGAGTTTTTAAGTTTTAGATGCATTGCAGTTATTGAGTGCTAACTGGTTGGAAAGCTTGCCAGTAATTAAACTCCCTTCTGCGGTGGTCTTCTCATATAAGAATAGAAATTTAAATTAAAAAAAAAATTGTGGAGTCTCTCTGTAGACTGGCTCTGATACCGCTGGGTCTTTAGAATTCACTCACACTTGTCATTCCTTCACTTGTAGAATTCTCACCTACATCGTGTCTAAAAAAATAATGAAAAAAAAATGTAAAAATGGTGTTATCATATGTTCTGCTGAGCTTTTCATAGTGATACTATATTGTCACTGTCAGAACAAAACCTCCAATCTTGACTTCTGTCATTTTTCTTTTTTTTCTTCTTCGTAATTTGACAGTGCTAGCTGCCACATACACTTTAAAAAAGGGAATCAAACAGCTTCAGTTGATTGAAATGTAGCTGCCAGAGTTCTTACTAGAAGTAAAAGAAGGGACACATCACCCCTATTGTTAAATACCTACGCTGGCTACCAGTAGGTTACAGAAGAAAGTTTAAGGTAGCTATTCCCGGTCTGTAAATCACTTAATGGTGTAGGAGCAGTGTATTTATCTGATATGCTGCAGCGATATGAGCGGAGCAGAACATTCAGATCATTAGGAACTAGTTAGTTATTCCTGCCGATGGTAAAGACTAAACATGGAGAAGCAGCATATAACTACTATGCTGTTAATAAATGGATTCAGTTCAGCTCAGTTTAAAACACTTGGCTCTATTGCACTTCTCTCCTGTAACAGCACCGTATTATTTTGGTTTCACTTTTAATTTTAATGATTCTTCTCTTTTAAAATCTATTGTTTTAATCAGTTTTTAAAATTTATAGTCTCCTTTGCTACTTTTTAAATGTGTCTTTTTTTTATTAATTTGTGAAGTACTTTTGAATGACCGCTGTCACTTTTAGAAATAAAGACACATTTTTCATTCGTCAAGGTACAAACAATATAAACATACCCTCAAAGGTACAACCATGGTTTTAAGGTCCAATTGTGTACCCTAAAGAAGTTTTTTCCCAGATGAAAAGTACTGAGATGTTCCCTTGAGTGTACCACCCCAGTGACAAGAGGGGTACTGCCCCAGTGACAGTTTACTACCTTTATTTCTGAGAGTGGTGTATAAAAGCTATGTAAATAAACTTGCCTTGCCTTGATGTGAAATACTTTGTTCTAGAGATACTTGCTGAGTCAGAATTGTTTACAGTGGTGGTGATAAGAACCAGACAACACCTGAAGAATTAAATGTGCCTCTAAAAGCAGCATCATAGAAAGTCATTACATGAAGAGGTTGTGAATACACTGCCTGATGTTTGGTGACATTGTTTTACGACAGTTTTGAGACGGTTTTGGTGTTTTTTTCCCATCTAAGTCTGTGCGTTTTTCTTCAATTAGCCATTTGACATCAAACCCCCCTGAATGACTTTATTTACATTTAAACAGTTGAATTATGGTGAATTTTGGAATTTCTTTTTACTTACGTTGAAACTTGAGTTTTTCTTTCTCCTGTAAAGTTACTTTTTGAAGAGGTTTTGTTTTGACACTGATGATATGTGAGTTTGTACATCATGTTTACATAGCTGCAATTACCAAGTGCTTTACATTACAGATTTACATGTCGAGCACTCATTTATGTGTTGATGATGAAGCTCGAGATAGTCATGGGGTGGCTTTTCCTATTTCAATTACTTAATGACTGGGGCTTTAAACCACAACTGTTCTGTATGCTTTTTTAAGATAAACGAGTCCAAATGTCTTGAGATCATGTTTACATCAAAATGTGACCTACTTTGAAGTTATGTAGTCTATATTGATTTTCCATCTTTTGCTTAAGGCATCAGTATTTTCTTAATCACTGATGTGGACATGCTCAATCATTAAGTCTCATTTCTTCCTGGTACTAATGCCACACTCATTTCTATGTATGGTGGGGGGAAAGGCGTTTGTATAGACGTCATTTTATTGTTCCTAACTGAGAATGGTACTTTAAACACAGCATGGCATGTATGTTCTAGTTAACAGTAGCTGCTAGCCTAATGATTAGCCTCACCGTCACTGTAAATAGTGTAGTACTTGTATAAGCTTGTAGGTGCTTCAGCTTTCCCTCTTTGTCCTGTCGTCCTCTTAACCTGGTGATCCCTGGTGTCCTTCTGCTCTCTGCCTGCCATGCTGTGTTATAGGTTCAGATAGTCTCCAAAAAGGTGGACTACAGCCATGTTACGTCTCGCTTGGGTTCCAAGGACAATATCAAGCATGTCCCTGGTGGAGGGAACGTAAGTACCGTCACTGCATGAGATCAAACCATCAGCAGAATCGATGCAATCTTCATCACTCTCCTCGCTCCTTATTTAAAATAGAGTTGGAACACTCTGACAACCACAAGGATAAAGCAGTACACAATTCAATTCTGTTTTATTCTGTTTGTGAATAGTCATTTGCGTTGATGCGCAGTGTGGAATGGTGCTAAGTGTCATGCTCATGATATGCGCTTTATAGAGCAGCAGGCTTTTGAGCCAGTAACAGCAGAATTTTGAATTTTAATTCCTCTTCATGGCTACCTGACGCATCTCTTACTTCTCTCTTTGATCTGTGGCTTCTCCTTTAGTTCTCAGAGTTTCACAGCTTCTAGCACTGCTGACAATAACATAAATAACAATTCTGCCATGTTTTCTGAATCACAGTTTATGTCAGCTAAACTGTTTCATTTTATATCTTCCTTTTTTGTATCCTGTGAGTCTTTTATATCTTTTGGCGTCCAGTGAGTGTCAGATCAGCCTCTGTCCAGCCTGTGTTGATTTTCTGCACTGCATGTAGATTTCAAATACAATCAGGGCAAATAAAAACAGGGTAGGATGGTGCAGCACCAGCACTGAACCATAAAACTCTTCCCCTTCTTTTACATGTGCCACTTTGATGTGTTCACAGGTGCAGATTCTCAATAAGAAGGTTGACCTGAGTAAAGTGACCTCAAAGTGTGGTTCAAAGTCCAACATCAAGCACAAACCAGGTAAGAGCCCTCATGGCTTGGACCTGTATCTTACCAGATAATTACTTGAAGGTTTTTGGGGCAGATGAAGACATTATAGATGAAAAAGTTTTTATTGTTTCTTGTAGGAGGTGGAGATATAAAGATTGAGTCTCATAAAGTGAACTTCAAAGAAAAAGCCCAGCCCAAGGTGGGCTCTTTGGACAACGTCAGTCATGCACCTGGTGGGGGGAATGTTAAGGTGAGATTTGGGGTAAAGGGAAAATGGCTTTGCCACACTTTTCACTCTTTTTACCTACAGTTTTGCTTGAAAAAATACTTTAATTAAATTCTAAACCTGCATCTTTCTGCATTCTGAAAATCATGACATTTGGCATAGTTGTGTTATAAATTGGATTCTTGTTTGGAGACTCCAGGTTTGGAGTCTAATATTCTGTATCTGTGGTGTAAATCAAAATTAGAGTTTAAGATTCTGCATGTGCTGGGCAGAATAACAAAAGCGCTTTAAGTAACTAAAGCACAATTACAAAGGCAGCTACACAGGTGAGTCATGTTAGGTTGAATGCCAGTTAGCCATTTGTACAATCTATAAAAACGTTTGATCATGATTACTTGATATTTGATGTTTTTGAAGTAACATCAAGCAACTACCGAGACTTCTAATGAGGTTGCAAATGTGTTGCCAATATTGTTGTTCAGTTACCATAACAGCATTTACCAACAAAACATTATGAAGGAACTATAAAGAAGAACAGTATTTGCATGGTGAGACATGCTAACAAGGATAGAACACTCAACAGTAGTGTTGCTGAACTCCACAATACTACACAAAAGCTCAAAACCACACCAGAACTGAAACACCACCACTGTGACCGAGACCAAAGCTTTACACAGCAGGCTTCACAATACAGGACTGCCTACTGGAAATCACTCTTAGTTAAGGTCAGTACACATAGTCTGATGTAAAGAGCACAAAACCTTCAGCACCCGAACAGTGAAAAAAATAATATGGTCCAGTTGTCTTTGACCTAAAGATCCTAAATTGTATGGGATGTCATCTCATCAGAGACGTTCTAAGGTGATTACAGCTAAACAAATTTAAAGGTGCTTTCATGAACTCCAGGATGAAGTCACATGTCTTCCACGGACTCCTTCCAGTACATACCTTTTCACCTTTTGTTCAGTATTCTCCTACACAAAGTTCAAAACATGTATGACAGCATTCAGGTTTTTGCTCTGAATATGGTGATTCCTACATCTTAATGAGGCGCTTGATAATAATATATTCTGCAGTGCATCTGTTAACCTCTCACAACTTGGGATCACAGTAACATACAAAACAAAACAGGAATGAGTAATAAAAAAGAAGATAAATTTCCTCTGACAAATTTCCTTTAAGTAGTGGTCGATTTGTTGGCGCAGTGCATTGTGTATCATTTTCTTTACAGCTGAAAGCTCATATACAGCTTTCAGTAGGATTTAATGTGAAGTCATCACCCACAAAATGTGTTGTATGTGTTTCAAAGTAAAAAAAAATGCTGTTTTCTCATTGTTTTCCCTTTCTTTAACATATTTTCTGTTTGTTTTGTTAATATCCACAAAACTCAAGATCCATTTTAAGTTCTACATTTTGTTGTATTTTAAAAACATCTCTTGCTCTATTCAGTAATTAAGCTCCCTCTGAATCTTTGCGATTTGATGGCCCCCAAAGATTGACTTTGGCATCTTTCTGCAGAAATAAAGATGAAGTATGAGGGATTTTGCAGTTTTTGGAAGGAAAGGCTAGGGTGTAAAAATAAGTGAGCTCTGTCCTAAAGGTAAATGGAGGGCTGTCTTAAAGCTCTCATTTATTTTTACTCAGATGCTGTACTGGAGGACCACCAAGCTGCATAGTTCAGCATTTGCCCTGTTTCAACTCCTCAGCTGTTGATAAAGGCCTTTTTCCATGGAGTCAGTTATGTAAGAGTTGGGAAAACATTAAACCATGCAAGCTGTAGCCCTCCAAGACTGCATTTCGAGTAACGAGACATTTAACGTTTTGAGTGGGTCCAGAAAAAGCCTCCAACTGAATTATAGGTTGTGATGTCACCTTTCCCCTCAGCCTATGGTCATCCATCTCTGCATGAGAATTTCCATGTCTGTACTCTTCATCTGCGCATATTCATTCACATAAGGCTTTACTTTCATTCCTTAAAAGAGAACAGCACAGGCTTTATGATGATAAAATTGCACTGAACAGTTTTTATTACAGTGCTTTATAAATTTATTGGCAGGAAGAAATGAGGAAAAAGGCTTGTCTTTGTTTATCAGCTTGATCTTGAAGTAACATTGTTCAAATGGATAAAAGAAGTGAAAAACCTCATGTTACAGTTATATATACAGAATCACTCCAAATCTGTAAGAGTTCTTGGTCCTCACCTCTGGATTGTGCTGCTTGAAGATTCGACCTCCTGGCAACCAGATATTTTATCTAATATTCTAATATTCCATTTTATTTCATGGAATCTGTCAAGTATACCCAGTATGCCCTATCAATCCTAACATTTCCTAGGACCTTTGTAATTTAAACAGTCCCACCACCGTACTTCACAATAGTCCTAATTAGCTTCAGTGACATTCAGTGAACTTATCCTTGTGGTTTGATGATCACAGAGGTTTTCTTCTTGCACGCTTTCTAATAGTTTCATGACTTGGATGTGGTGTCTGATTGTAGTTTTGGAGACTTGGTAACCCTGGACTTCTTAAATAGGAATGGATGGAATGTAACAGTGCCTAGTCTCATGTGCTTTAAAAAGTATATTATGAATGAGAATTTGTGCTTTTCTTTATAAGAGTATTTGAGACATATGTTTGTGAGAAATATTGGTATTATATTGGTATGTGATATTGGTATTTCAGGCTAAGATCAAGCTGATAAACAACAAAAAGGATATTTTTCATAGCTTTTTTTGCTCATCTTACCAATGGTGCCTGTAATTCTGGAGGGCACTACTTCCAGGTACTGTATATAGTAGTTAAAAATAGGAATACAATTAATGATAATTTACACTTGATAATATTCCATAGTTCTGTACTGTAAACATTGTAAAGCATGATAAAACTTCTGTTATTTTCAGACATAAATACCGTATGAAGGTACTGATCAAGCTTACAGAGAATCAGACAGTTCCCAACAGCTTTACATACAAGACCTGAGCACTTCATTTCATTCAGAATTGGTTGAGTGCATGTGCGATGATAGCATGGCTGTTTATCATGTTGTGCTTTTTTGTATTTAAGTTAAAAGATTTATTTTTAGTATAAAGTCTTAGAATCTGATGCATTCTATCATACATTTTTAATAAGTGTAAATATATTTTGCATTTTTGAGTTTTGCTGCCAGCCTCATATGCGATTTAATGCCTTGCTCGTGTACTTTGTGCCATCACAATCAAGTCGTGAGCATTGCGAGACATTTTTTTGGTTGATGAGCATTTTTTTGGTTGATGCTTTGTTTTTCCATCCTACATTGCTTACTACATACCCTCATTCATGGGGGATCACATACGCAAATCCATTCCATCTCCATCTCTCCTATTGACATGCTGCTATGTGTTTCTAGGCTGAGGGGCAACAGGAGACAGTTGAGGGGAGTGGGGCTCCCTCTAGTGGCTCCTTGGCACCCCAGCCGGCAGCCAGTCCTGCCCAGGAGAATGGGCTGAAGGAGGGCACTCCATGTGGGGGCGATGCACTCCGGGACCCCCAGGGCCTGGACTCGCTCATCCCTGAAACAAGTAAGTTTGTGTGTCACCCTGCTCCTGTCCCAAGGTCCACTCTATGACCCTTCCCTTGGAAGCCCCTGTTATGTGTAAAATGTAATCAGTCCAGTAGCTCAGAGGTACATGTAGAAAACTTGCTTGATTGGTCATTTTGTGTAGGGAGTATGTTAGTCATGCAGTCTGTACTGTGTGTTTTGATGGGCATGATGTTGGTGCGTTGGTGTTGGTGATGTAACGTCTGTCTTGGTAATATTAAAAATGGCAGCAGGTTCTGATTTGGGACTTTGCCTTGGCATTTTCTTATTGTACTTTTTAGCTTCTCTGGTATATTCTAGAAAGGGGTATGTTCTACATTTTTGTGTAGCAGCCATAGATGATACTTAAAGCAAGGGCTATCACTGCAATGGTAGTTAACTGTAGATAAGGCAGGTGAAAGCTTGGGTCATACTACTTGGGTTGTTGACAGATACCTTAAGAATTGGCATTACCTCCTTATAGAGTTGTTCTACATGATTTACATCATTATTTGTTACAAATACAATATTTAATGTCAGATTTCTATACATCAAGAAAAAAGATCATGTTTTTTATTTAAAGTTCATATATACAGATGTATGCAAGAGTTTTTTGATTTTCTTAGTAAGAATAAGTTTTCTCAACACATCCTCTACAGAGAACACACACCTGCACATTTTACTGCATTATTTTTATTTGCTGAATTTAACGTAATGGAAACAAATAAAACATAAAATGTGGCTTGTACAGAAGTTGACATTTTCTGTTTTATGTTTCATTTTTCAAAATGTTAAACTAAAAAAAATAAAAGAAATGGTACGCCAGCACATGCAGGAAAAAGTTTGTTCCCAGTAGAAGATTCGATCATTAATTTTCACTCAGAAAATCAACAAAACTAGTTCAAATGGTCAAACATATTTGCATACGACTGTATTTATTCATGTTATTCATTTGTAATTTGATTTCTGATTTTCTTGTATTTGTGTTCATTCATTTTTGTATTTGTTATTTTTGTTAAAAAAAGAAAATGACTCTATAATCTTCTTTCCAAGGCCCCTGACTACTGAATCATCTTGACTTCTTATTTTTCAGGCATCTAATTCTGCTTTTTGCTGTCACTTTACCCTTTTCATTTCAATCCCCCAACACCTCCTCTCCTGACCCTTTCTCCTCCCTTTAATGGCCAATCCTCCTCCTATCTTTCTGTTTTTCCAACACCCCCCTCCTCCGCTGCAGATTGAGTCTTTCAAGCTAAACTTCCGCGAGAAAGCGCGCTCTCGCACGGACCACGGCGCTGACATCATAACCTGGCCTGCCCTGGGTGACAGCCCCGCCCACCCCCATCCGCTCCGCAGCAGTGTCTCGCTCAACGACTCCTTGGCGACCGCCGGCTTCCCTCGCTCCTCCACAAGCCCTGCCCTCGTCCTTGCCTCTCAAGAGCAAGGGTGCAGCTCTGGCTCACTCACTGGACTCCGGACGTGACCTCCTCTGCTCATCGGTTAACTCACAAAACCTCGGCCCCTCCCTTCGCAGACTGTTTCAGTCTGGTAATGAATAGATGAAATGAATATAGCAGAATCTCTTCGCCCACCTCTCCTCAGCTACACAACTCACGTTGTTCGTACTCACTTGGTCGCAACACTATCCATTAGAGCATGATGTAGGCTAGTTCTCCTGGCAAGTTTGGTCTTCTTCAGTACTGCAGTCTTAGCAGGATCTAATCTCTGTTAGGATCTCCCATGGTGTAATCAACTGGATAAATACATGACCTATACTCCCGTGTTTACTAAGCTGATGCAAGTACTCATTTTAGAGATATCAGCCCATAGTTTTGTGTTGCAGCTCTTTGTTCAGTATGCGGGGCTGTCACGTGATCCTGTAAGAACCATCGACTACCCTGCTTCGATATCCCCCACTCTCATAACTCTCATAACTTACTCCCATCCTTCGCTGTCCTCCATAACAACTCATGTTTAAAACAAAGTAGTCTGTTTCAGCTGTAGGTTGATCTAAATCTCTCTAAAATTCTGTGTTTTGTGATGTGTTTGAGTGAACTCTGTGGCTATGAGCTGTGTTCTATTACGTTTGTTTGACTTTTCATTTCTCGTTGTGCTTGGTTGTTTGGTTCTTTTATTGTTTTTTCTTCTTGTAAAGCAATACATTGGTCTCTGCCTATAGGACGTTCTTCTTGAAACTTCTTGAAAAATACGCACAGGAAGTAAAGCTTACATCTCAGACACAGCTCCACATGGGTCTCGGAAAGTGTGCGTGGTCAGCAGGTGGTGAGGGAGGTTCATGGAAGGTAAAGAGCGAACGTGTGAGAAAGGGTGTTGATGTATGAAGTGGATGTTACGTGAAGTTGACTTGACCTGAAGCTATTAACGATGAACCGTCGTCAATCGTGATAGATGTTCGTGGTTGGATGGACCTGGTGTCATGGCTGAAGCATGTTTGAGATGGAAGGAGGAACGAAGCCTTGTGTCATTCAAGTTTGTGCCTCTTATCCTAATTACCTGAAATTGGAAAGAGCCTGGGTCTGCCACTGCCTTTGGGAAGATACAGAGACATTCAGAATGTCACAGCCTGACACAAAACCTTTTCTTTTAGCTAGATTAATTGTTGCTTAATGAAGACTTAGTTGGACTGTACCTACATTGTACCTATACCTAATCGTGCTTACTGTTCCAGCAGAGGTGTTTCAGAGAGCTAAAAGCATAGCTTAACCTTTATTAAAGTGTCAACAATGCACATGGATATTCAAACGAGATGTTAGAGACAGTAGACCATTACGCTGTAGCTTATTTTTCTTGTAGCACTCAATCTTAGTCGCCTCTAAATAGCCTTTTTTATGCAGTCCGAATATTGTATCCCGTTCAAAAAACTGTACACGTCACATAGTTCTATGGTGCTGTGTCTGTTCTACAGTGGAGAAGGGAGATGTTTTCTTAGTAGCTTTTCCTGTTTAGGGTTAAGACAGTGGCGAGGATGAATAAGGGTAGTTCTTTGGTTAGAAATGCTACTGCAGTTTTGCCCTCTTTTTAACCTCAAATTAATGCAACTAATGGAAGAAAAGGCACTACCATAAAAATGATCTTACCTATCTTTCGTCACTATTATTTACCATCAGTTATTGAAGGTTTTAAGCATTTTTAATGAATCACAGAGAAGTATAATGCACATGCATATTAAGCGCGAATCTACATTATCACAGAAATATTTGATTGAGGGAACTGGCATTGATAAATCATTGACTCAGTATTGAACTAGGGAAAAAACATTGTATCTTAAATTTTATTTAGGCTCATGGGCAATAACGGTTATTATTTATGTAGAAGTGTTTTTGACAAATGAGAGGTTTGTAGATATTTGTATTTGAGCTGTGTTGTTGTGCAGCTTTCAAATGCTCTGGGTATGGCCCTCTTATTGAGGTCTGACTGTATTTTGTAACCGCCAGCTTTGGTCGTTTTAAAGTCAATTCCCTGTGCCTGAACGCAGCCATCTTACTGTCAAGTGCAGTGTACTCTGCTTTTTTTCATTGAACACTTTCTTGGTTCTCCTCAACTTCTAGCACACGGTTTAATGTAAATATATATTTACGGTTTATACATTCAGCATCGCCGCAGGGAAGGAAAAAAACGAGATGGAATAGATGAAAAGAATATTAATTATGTTTTAAAAGGGTGTCGAGTACAGATTTGTACCTTTTAAGGTTTTTAGGGAGTGTGCTTGTCATTATTATTATTGTTATTAAGATCATTATGATTTCAGTGATTATTATTAATATTTATTATTATTATCATCATTATTAAAAACTAAAGTTGGTCTGCCTTTTTTTTCCCCTGAGAAAAGGGCTGAGGTGAAAGAATGTTTTTGAAACATAATGTACTAAACATGCAAGACACTTGTATTTGTGTTTCTGTCGTACCGCCATTGCTTTGGTATGCTGGTTGTGGCTGTGGGTTGTGTGTTAGACTCCTACAAGCAAAATGCAAGGTTTGTGCAGAGGTCTTGATGAATCTCGATGAGACTCGTATTGCTCCTTGCCCATCTCCACCTTCTAGTCTTAAAATCTGAATAGCACACTGCAGGCATGATGTCCTTAGTTAAACGGTTAAAGATGTAAGAGCAGGGTATCGCATTGAATGTTTTCGATTTGCACTGTTTTATTTCTGCCATGAAGGACCAGGGCGCCCTGTTGAGGCAGGGAACGAGAGGAGAGGTCCAGTGTAACGTGTGAAATTGGGGATCTCACCATGGCAAGCTTCAGTACTTTATCATAAAGTCATAAATACAAAGCATACCACCCTCGCTCAAGCCGTATTGAGGCTTCAGAAGACTACCACACGCTTACATCAAATTCTAATAAGATTTTATTGAAATTCCCCTGTGATGGCGTGGGAAGCCCCTTAAATGCGCTTCTGCTAATAGAGAGTACTAAAAGAAAACATACTAAGAGCATGCAGAACAAGTGGGATGTGTTTGGTAGACTTGTCATTTGCAGACATTGTCCATTTGCAGACATTGTCCTTTGTTTTGTTTTCCATTACATTTGAAATTCATTTTATTTTCTGGTTTGAAAGAAGTGTTTATTGTGATCAATTGTTAACTAGTGATGTGATTATTAAACATTAAATAAAATAAGGTGTTTAAAAACATTGAACGTGTCTTGTGAATTTCTTTGTAACAAAGTTTGGTTATTGATTACAGCAGAAATACTGTCTAAATGGTTACAAGATTAAAAAAACATTAAAGCCTTACATAAATATATGTTTAACCGATGGGGGACTTATTATTAAACTTTGTTAGTATTCAGATTCATTATTCCTTTTTTTCAGGATAAAGGAGTTCAGGAAGAGTATTAAGAAGTGGAAGGGATCAGAGAGTGTAGGGAAGAGTGAAGGATGTGGCTGGATGTTTTCAGGAGGCGAAGCAGAATAACATGATGAAGGCAAAGGTTAGTTTGATATGAAGAAGTAATCTTTGATAATAAAAAGGATTATTAGAAAGCCAGTGGTGAAGGATATTCGGATCATATTAACATGTCAAATGTGTCTCATTAGAAAGTCTAATAAAATTTGGTATAGCATGAGGAAACAAGAATGAAAACATTAGAAAATGGGGTTTAATTATTGCTTTTTAAAAATGATCAGAGTAATTACCTTTGCATAGCAATTTCCATAGGGTTAAATGCTTTACATGGCAAAAAAAAGCACAAAACAAGATCCAGTTTCGCAAAGTTTGATAATGAATTAGAATGATTTTGTTGGAATTCATACATAGGAAGTCATAAAAATTATACAACTACTTTTTCATGTGTAAGTTTGCCTTTTTGGCTTTATGCTGGTCTATTTTGAGCATGTAAAGACCTAGCAGGTAGAATAACTACTGTACCATAGACTTTAGTTCATTGAACCTCAAAATGTCTGCAAAATTTAATTGTTAAGATGTACACAAAGTGCAATATGCTACTCTAGACAAACTTGCAGAGTCCCATATGGTACAATGCCTATAATGCTTATAAAAGCTACATCACATGATGCCATTACATTAAATTGTTTAATGAGGTTAAGTACATCTGTGGCACGCAGGATGTAAGAAGACAAATCTTTACCTTTTTTTAACCATTCTAACCATTATCAACATAACATTTTTACTCAGCTAAACATGTAGTTTCAGTAATCACTAATCTAATCTAATTTATCTAATAAGATAAAATGGTTTAAATAAAATGGTTATCTATTATGATCATGATCCCTGGTTTCCATCACCACCACTGTAAAGTTATCTATGTCAGTGAGTTTCTCTACAATGCACCATTTCACATCAAACCACTCTGAATGACTTTACATCTTCATTAAATTATGCAGTCATTAAAACTATGCGATCAGTGCAGTTCCCCTTTAACCTCTAAAACTCTGTTCTACCTCCGTCTCCTTATTCGCAACTTAAGAGTAGCTGTTTGCCTTGTGTCCGTGTAACTATTTGGAATAATCCTCAGGAGGTAATAAAGGGAAAAAAAAGTTTAAAGAGGACAACTATACATTGAGAATATTGTGGTGAGAATAAAAAGAATATGAAGAATGTAATACATGGTCTGTGATGACAAATATTATAGTAGTGAAAAATGTCAAGTAAATTCAGGTACACTGAAAAATAAGATATAAAATGCAGTTACATTTCAGTAGTTAGGTAAGTAAGGTGAACTTTCATCCACAAGATGGTGCTGTAGATCTGATACAGCAGCTCATGTACTCATTTCATGTTTCTGGCTGAAAATGATGCTTCCACTTAAGTGTACACATTTTGGATGGTGTTCTCAGAGGTTGAATTTATTGCATAGATAAATACAGTTGTTATTCTAAGGGTTCACTCTGTGCAAAAAATAAGAAAATGAGTGAAATAGAGCAAGAAAGAACTTTATTAAAAGGATATTTTAAAAAGGTGTACTATGGTCAGATGGAACAGGAACATTGTTATTGTTGAATGTTTTGATGTTATGTTTGGGGCAAAACCACAGTGAAGCATCATGCTATGGCGGTGCTTCTCAGCTTCTCTACAGCAGGACCTGGAAAGCCAGTTAATATTCAAGGACAAATGCACTGAGCAAAATGACAGAAAATTAATTCTAAAAAAGGATGTTTCAGTTTACTAAAACAAAAACCTAAAACTACAGATACAGACAAGCACAGGTAATTACAGCTAGCGAATTAAAGGAAAAACCAACACAAAGTGTTTAACCACCACAGCCACAGATTCAACCAGTCTCTTTAATTATGGATTAAAAACTGGGTTTTGCTCCACTGAACTCTGAAATGTACATTAGTCTTTGCGATGATGTGTTTGTGCACTTCAGCTCTACCAGAATATCCCTCTCTGTGTATTTGCGGATGGACTGTTCTTGCTGACACAGTTGGATCACTTCTCAATCACCTGAGGAACAGTTGCTCTTCTGTTTTTCCCTACATATCAGACATATCAGCAGAAGCATCACAATCGTTAAATGTGTGCTTTCAACCACAATTTCCAACCCTGTTTACTGATGTCTTTTCCACAGATCTAAATGCAGAGGTCACTCTTCCTATTGAAACACTAGCCAGCCTTTATGCCTGAATCACCTGCAATCCATGCCATATAACAATAAACTCTCTTCCAAAGTCACTTTTTCCTCTTCCATCATGGTTCAAAAACAAGGTCTGTTTGGCTTGCTCAGCATTTTATACATGCCACAGAGCATGGTAGGATGTTTAATTGCTTAGTTGTATCCTGTAATACACTTGTCTGGAAGTATCATCACCCGTTTTGTTTTTCCCCTCATTTATTAAGGCTTTTGCTTCAGTTTGTCATCTATCTTTATATGTTTAATTACTATTAGTATTTTTTTGCTGGATTCTGTTTTTCCTCATTGTAGTTGTAGGAGTCTTAAGATGTTAAGAGTGCATTTGGAATATTACATTTTAAAAGTTACATGCTCTATTTCACTTCACAGACTTACTGAGTCTGAATACTTTTTTGCAAACCACTGTACATGGCTTTTGTTAAACCTCAAAGATGGATTTAAAGATGTAAAACAATAAAAGGTCTTAGTGGGACTTGAGTGAGGCTTAAGTCTTGAAGTCAAGGTTTGGTAACTAACCTGAGTTTGTGTCACTTGGAGTAATAATTGTTCTGTCCTTTGAAAACTTCTGATTGGTAGGATATATATATATATATATATATATATATATATATATATATATATATATATATATATATATATATATATTATTTTCATAAAAAAGGACAGCAGTATCATAGCTGTGACAGTAGTTGGTGTATAGGAGGCTAAGATTTAAATGTCTGTTCTTTAAGCTGATAATTAGTCATTACTACTTTAAATAATAACAGTTTTCGTTTAGTGTGTTTCTGAGCCCTGATACACATTTAAAGCATGTCCTTTGTGTTTGCCGTATGTGTGCATTGTGCATCTAAAGAAGTACAAATAATGAAGAAACCTTTGCTTATACTTTGTGAGCTTTTGGAAAATTATGTGACCAGCCACAGTACACAGAAATTACATGAATATACAGTCATTAATCTCAGTTTGTTTTAATCATCAAAAGAGTAGTATCTTTTACTATAGGACAAAAAAATCTCCCCAACATGTTAGTCGCTTTTTTTGTTGTAATTTAGTAATTTCACAAGCTTTCTAAGTAGGGTTGGAATACTTTTGCAAACCGTTGTATATTTAGGCATATGAGCTATCTTGATAGTGCTTCTGTGTTTAATGGAACGTGGTGGGAATGTAATCAAAAAAGCCACACTACATATCTTGAACTGCAAATTCTTTTTTATTGTACATTAAAAGTAGGAAATGATGGTGATCCAAAGCTTTCCAAAGTCTTCTGCAGGAGCCTTCACTCTTCATCATGTCCTTTCTGTAACAAATACAGAGAACGTTGATGTGTTTTGTCAACATAGCAAGTGAATGATAAGAAACATCTTATATATATGTATAACTTATATTTTCAAGCATATCAACTTGACAACTTGCCTTGGAGCCTGTATCACGGCTTTTGGCTCTCAGCTTGTTGACCTGAGACTCAGCAATATCAGCCCGCTCTTCTGCCTCATCCAGCTCATGCTGCAGCTTGCGGAACTTTCCAAGATTGGCATTGGCTTGCTCCTCCTGCAAGCATGAACAAGTAGTTATTGACAAATACATACATGACATGCATAGTAATTGCACTGCAGGTCAGTTCAGCCTTGTACTTACAGCTTCCTCTGCAGCTCTCTTATAGGACTTAACCTTCAGCTGGAGTTTGTCTACCAAATCCTGAAGACGGGCCAGATTCTTACGATCCTCCTCAGTCTACAACAGATACAGAGAGTCTGTTCATTTTTGTCCACTCTTTCTTTTTTTGCTGTGTGCTGTGAAAATGGTAAGTACTGTACTAAAAGGGTAAAAACCTGGTAGGTGAGCTCCTTAATGCGCCGCTCATATTTACGGACACCCTTCACTGAATCACTGGCCTTCCTCTGTTCCAACTCCACCTCTGTTTCCAGTTCTCTGACCTAGAAATATTAGAGGAGGTATTAGGTTGAGCACAAACATCTATGAAATCACTGTAAAAAAGAAAAAAAGAAAAACAAATTGTACACTATTTATGTTAAACAACTTAAGAAAAGCAATTTACCCTGGCTTCCAGCTTCTGAACCTGCTTCTTGCCACCCTTCATAGCAATTTGTTCAGCTTCATCTAGACGATGCTGTAAGTCTTTGATGGTCTGCTCCATGTTCTTCTTCATGCGCTCTAAGTGAGCACTGGTGTCCTGCTCCTTCTTCAGCTCCTCTGCCATCATGGCAGCATCAGTGATGGCTTTTTTGGCCTTTTCCTCAGCATTCCTGCACTCTTGGACAGCCTCTTCTACCTCAGTCTGAAGCTGGGTAGTGTCACCTTCCAGTTTCTTCTTCTGGTTCAGCAAACTAGTGTTCTGAAATGTAAAAAAGTTTAGACTTTCAGATTTTCTTCTTCCTTTTTGTGGTCTATATGAATTTGTGTTTGTTTTATGAAATTGATAGCGTTGTTGTTCCACAGATTGCATACCTGGGAGTGCAGCAGCTGAACCCTTTCACTGACATCCAGCAGTTCCTGCTCTGCCAGTTTTCGGCCTCTCTC